AATACATCTTTATATATGTATTTGGTAAGTTGTGAGAGCTCATAGGGTCCAAGCAAGGTTGCTTAGGACAGGGGAGTGCATGTGTGCATTGTTGTGAGCTAAGGTGTGTGCGACAGTTGTGTATCTACTTGCATTATAACTAGTGGAAGATTACATTGGTTGTTGCCAAGAACCAAGGTTTTTTATCTCTAGTTGAGTGAGATTTTCCTTGTAAAATCATTGTGTACTTGTGGTTGAATGTAAAAGAACCAATTCACACCCCCCGGGGCTCCTCTCCTCTTGGTTCATTCATTAGGAAAATTTTCCTATCCCGGTTTAAGACCGGACGAGGATGCATAAGTGGATGGAGGGATTGCCCTAATACTTAAGTCAGGCTAAAATGGAGATATGGTCTTGAATAGGTATGGGTAGGACTTCGATGCATTGAAGGAGTCAACCAGTACTTAGCTTAGTTATTTGGCTAAGGAAGGAAGGGGAGAGGCAGATAAGATAGAATATCAGTTGTTCTTAGAAGAGAGAAAACAGTAGAATTAAAGGGGCTTGAAACTTCTGAGAGAGTGCTTTGCGATCCGGCTCACTCGTCTAAAACTACCTTTGGAAGAGGAGAGGTGGGTTAGGTATCTCCCAGGCAGCCCACATACATGGAGGGAAGAAGAGAATGTGGTTTTGGGAGGGGGGTGTATTTGCTCAATGATCTAATAGCTTTGGTTAGAGAAAATCCCAAAATGGCATAGTTAAATGATTGCTTAGCTTAAGTATGGATTTCGCGCAACGGATTGAATCGAGGAACTGAGCAAGTTACCAATACCGGCACAGCTCCCGCTGAAGCAATTGTAGACCAATTGTGGGTAACCCACGGTCTGGGCACCCTTGATTTAGTATAATAAGAACGATTACTCATGGTCAAGAATTTGTGGCCCCGACCAAGTTCCAAAGGCTATTTCTCCAAAATCTTAACCATGAGTTGTAACTGACTGCTTATGGTCAAGGGTAATCTAAGTTGGTCTCTATGAACCTTCATGTTCAGTGGTTAAGTCTTGGATAACCTTGCTATGTGGCTCTCATTTTTGTATTAAATTCATTAAATAGTATAACTATTGTATTGTCTTTTAGTTAGATACCAGTGTTTTTGCCATAAAAGGCACACTTTTCTGTTTTTGTTTTCTTGCATATATCAACCCTAGAAATCAGGATGTAGAATAAATTGTGTCGACTTTATCATTAATTTTTGCTTATAGGAAAATCTTATTCATTTATTATCTTACATGTATTAGACACCTTAAATGAGGAGACCTCATCCCCACTGTTTTATTAAGCACACTTTGCATCGTTGTAAGTTATCCTGTCCCGTTCGGTGTTTCCTGTTTTTGAAGGAAGAAAGGATTTCGTGGGTGACCTGCTTCTATGGGTGTTTAGCAGAGATTATTTTCCAATAATAGCTTCGTTATATAAAAATTTGCTTTTTTACTTGGATGTAATTACTACAAAATATAACTGCTATCCACCATCAGGGAAAAAAAAAAACTTTAATGGGCCCCATGGTACCATCCATTAACTAAATACAGGCATGTAGTGATAGGACCTACTGAAATAGATTCATTTAAAAAAAAAAAATAGATGCATTTTTACTTATGTGATAAGATATAATATAATTGATGGCATGGTACTCCCCGTGCCAGGAAGATATTCTCCACGACCAAACCACCATTGCTGTTACCCTTGCACCACCACCATATTGTGCACTTTCGAGGTGTAATTGCATGTGGCCCTCCTTCAGGTAGATATATATTTACATCAAATTTCTTTTGCATTTTGAGAGGGATTTACTCAGGCATTGGCAATGGTTATTCATTCGTAAATATTAAAAGTTCTCAAAGCTGGGTTTCTCATCTCAAATGTGTCGGTGTGGATTTTTAGTATTTTTACCTGATTTAACTTTGCCTAAAAAAATGATGGTTGTTTTGATAGAATTGATTGCTTTCAGTAGATTCCATGTTGTCCATACCTTCATGCTTTTATGTTGAATTTGGATGCGAAAATAAGGAATACAAATAGAAAAAAAGAAAAAGAGAAAAATGGAGAACACAGGCATATACATGGACATGGTTCGACACTAAGACTTACATCCATAGACAAAAAGCCACCAAATATTACATTTCTATTATTCAGATATGTTTTGTTTGAGTACAGAGTGTGTATAGGCACGATAAAGATAAAAAAAAATATAAAAAGTGTACAATAATCAAAGAAGACACCTTAATTGGTGGAAGATTTTACTTTACGATTATATAAAAATATTTATATATTTTAAGATATTAATAATTATTTTGGATGTATCGGTGCATACGTTTTGGAAACATTCTATGTGACAGCATGATATTACTTTAAATTGTCACTTCTTGCTTCAATTTTTCCTCCAATAGGGACAGGTGTATTACTTTGAATGGCCATTATGATAACGCTTGTTCCTTACACAATGTGGTCTGTTTTTTATTATTATGAACTTGTTCCTATATGATGAAGGGAAATAGATAAAATCATTATCCCAAAACAAGCTGTCCTGATTAATATTGTTTTTGTAGCATTAAAATTTCTGTGATAAAATTAGTTAACCTCATTTCTTATATCTCATTGGGTACTTTTTGCTAGGAAAATGGTATTAAAGAAGCTCCTTTATTGTTTAGAATCTAGGATTTTACTAATTACTTTTTTCCCTTTAATTATGATTTATGGTTTTAAGAATGTTGTCTATAATTTATCATGTATTTTTTCTTTAGGTAAGTGTTTTTTTTTTTTTTTTTTTTTTTTAAGGCGACGGGATGTGAGACACCCCAAACATCATACCCTCAACCAGATGGCTTCAGGTGCAACTTGCGCTCAAAGACTTTATGGTTCACGAAATTATACAATTTACAACAAGTATCGCATTTCACTACAGTTATCAATTTATCATGTATTTTACCTAACATAAACAAACAAACAAAAAAATTCCCCAGCAAGTATACATGAACAACAATTTATACCAAGTTCTATCTATACTGTGAACAATAGTTTATACGAAGTTCTCTCTATACTATTTTCAGTTAAGCATTATGAAAATTATTCTCATGTGTTATGTGAGCCAAAAATACATGTTCTCGCGGGCTGATTACTTAAACATCTTGCAGCTCCCTAAATCTTGTGTGCACAATGCAAATTAGAGAATTAGTGAGGAATGACGTGAATAAGTGGAAAACTTTTGTCCATCTGTTGAAGCTTTTGGTTATTTCTAGTTTTCGAACTTTATTTGTTCGATTTAATTTCTTCTGAAAATGACTATAGCCCCTACTTCAATGCATCGAATGAATGATTAATGACTTGTGAATATGCCATGCTTACATTTACAGCTGCCAAGGCGTGAGATCAGAGGTTTGAGGGCTAAAAATTCACACACACAGTCTCTGGCAATGTCAAGGTATTGCTTCTCCTTTACAAGTCATGTCACAGTCATAATATGTTTTCTTGCATTAATTGAGTTCATAAGAAAGAGCCATATTACCAAACCTGAAAGTGATTCCTAAACCATATCAGGCGATTTAGACATGGAGCCTCACGTGTCGTGGAGATCGAATAACGACTTCATTAAATTGGCTTTTGGGGATAGCTTCATTTTCGGATAACTTGTTTTCAGATTGGAAGATTATAGAGTTGGTGTGAATTGATTATCAACGTACCCTTTCTATGCTTTTACATTCTATGCAACCAATTATTCAGGAATGTGAATCAAATCTTCTATTTGGAATTCATACATGAATGTATATGATGCACACATATAATTATCAAATGGAATATACTATGCCTGAGAATACCGAATCAGCGTCTTGAAGTTCGAACTATATATATATATATATATATATATATATATTATCCATGCATATATTTACATATCACTAAGATTTTATTTTGTTCAACCGACCATGTAATTGTTTAGTTTTCAACAGATCTCGTCTACCAGTACTGAGTCTACTGACAGCCGACTGAACAATATTTACATGTATAGGTGAGCAAATCCTCCGAAATATCTGGTGTAACTTTATGTCAATTATTACTAGTAAACATTATCTCATCACTCATAAACAATATGGAACATATTTTTAACTACAATATATATATATATATATATATATATATATATATTTAAAATAAAATAAAAAATGAAACATTTCTAATTCATTTTTTTTTTAATTCAAAACGTAAAAAATAAAAAATAAAAAAAAAAGTTCAAAATATGATTGGAGTACAGTTGGGTTGGCGCAGATACTGTGCCATAAAGGAACACTAGAAAAAGAATTGTGGGAGGGAAAGTAGAAAAGAGACTTAGAAAAAGAATTGTGGGAGGGAAAGTAGAAAAGAGACTTAGACTAGTTTATTAGTTTTGGTCTACATACAGATCATATTGGTAGGCCAGGTCACATGTACAACTGTAATACAAATACTTAGACGGAACATATTATACATGGAACCGAAAAAACATTTTATAAACAGAAAAACTAGTCACCGCCCACCTTCCACCACTCACCGCCCACTACTTGACAATCTTTCCACAGCTTCCACCATCTCGTGACAATGACAATCTCCCTCATCCAGGACCACCTCTCTCTCTCTCTCTCTATATACATATACAGAGTATATAGACATATATATATATTATGTGTATATCTATATTTGATGTTGTGTGTTCAGGCACGTCACAAGAACCGGTTTGGACACCAAACTCGGCCTTATCTTCTTATCAACTAGTTTGGTTTGGCGTCTGAACCATCATCGCAGTTTCTTATCTCCACATGCATGACCATGACCCATTGACCATTACAACAGCTTTCCTCCACAAATTAATACTAATATATATATATATTGGAACTGAAATTATGGATCAAAATTTCTTCCAAGGCCTTGAATTTCATAAACACGGTTTAAAAAAAAAAAAAAAAAAGAACAAATTAATTAACTTGAAACCGAAATAAACTAATAAAACGCCCTTATGCTCTGTGTTGTTACAACTATGAAATTGAATCCGAATATGGAAAGAAGTTTCACCACTTTAAATTAAAGCAATCCCTTAGGATTACATCCAAGACATCTCAATATGACAATTCTGTCATGAACATGAAACCCTAGCTCCGACGTCGGTGTGGTCTCTGCATCGTAGTAGCTCTCATATGTTGGATGATGATGGTAAAATTAAACTAGTTGTTTCTCTTCTCACTCATCATCGGAGTTTTCGGGATCAGGGAATCGGTTCAAGTCCGGCTTCTCCAAAACCCGGTTCAGATTCTCCTCCGGTGATGCACGGCCGGCGCTTTGGATAGCATCAACCCTAGCTCCGACCTCGGTGGCTCTCTTCCGTATTGAAGCCGCAGACATGTCTTGGACCTCGTCTTCCTGAACTATATATTCCGGGAAGTTCAGCTTCGCCGACCGGCCTCGGAGGTAGAACACGGCGGTGTCGTAGGCACGCGCTGCCGCCACCGGCGAGGAGTAGGAACCAAGCCAAATCCTTGACCTCTTGTTGGGTTCTCTTATCTCAGCCACCCACTTCCCCCACTTCCTCATCCTTATCCCTCTGTACGGCTTCTCTTTTCTTTTCTCTCTGCTTGAACAACACTCTCCTGCCATTAGAAAAAGAGAAAAAAACACACACACATACACAACCCTCTCTCTCGTAGTTTCAGAAGAAACAATCAGTTATAACCCTAAAACAGAATCTTACACTGTCCTAGAAACCGCCTCCCTCCAGACCCATATGTTAGTATTTATATTTAGTATTGTGTTATAGAGAGGGATAGGGGGTTATATATATATATGTGTGTGTGTGTGTATGTGACTGTGTGTAATGTATTACTCCTGTATAATATACTATATGTATATGTGAATTTAGGAGTGCATAGACAGCACGCATTGGTTTCTTACTTGGCTGCTAGTGTGCCGTCTGGGCACGGCCGCCACGTTGATCTTCCTTAAAGATAAGTACAAAATAGGTCGACATAATCCATCATCACTTAGTTTCTCTCTCTTAAATTTGTTAGTTTCTCTCTCTATATTCCACGTAGAGCGGTTTTAATGTGGGGGCATGTGAGGGTTGTTTGGGTATTGCCGACGTGGATATATATATATATATATATGTTTCCACTTCTATTACGCAATCTCAAATCATGGATGGTCCTGCTTTATTGTGCTAATAATAATATCAGGTTGTGTTTGTCAAACGCAAATAAAGAAACGACTTTTAGTTTGGTTAGTTTATGCGATGATAGGTGGGCTTTGTGGTCAAGTGGGTGGAAATTTAGAGAGAGAAAGTGCGTAAGATATAGTTAGTTTATATGTTGTGGGTTAGAGAGAGAGAGAGAGAGAGAGAGAGACTAGTAGTAGTAGTAGGTCGGTGGTGGATGGTAGAATGGGTGATTGGTTTGAGAATTAAGAGTGGCTTTAATTCCACGCAATGACGAATCCATGAAGAGAATTAGTACCTTGTTTGCTTCACTCTTCTTTATACCTCCCCTTTCAACAAGAGAAAGGTAATGTCGGTGGAGATGGTTGAGTTTGAGATTTTATTTTATTTTATTTTGTTTTTGGTAAAGATTAACTCGCCTACTAACCACTTTAAACTCTCCAATAGTTTGTAAACTTCGAATGCTCACGTGACTTTTATTTGACTAAATGTCAATTTTTAATGACAATCACCAAAGTGAGAAGTTGCAATGTTTTTTTATAGAGCAGGCCAGTTCTAAGTTTTTGGGAGCTTATGCGAAAAATAAATCGGGACCCTACTTGACATAGTGTCACGAGCGGATTCCTAAGATGCTTGAAGTAAGGAAAACACGCATGTTGATTGGCGAAGAGCAGAGTTTGACTGAGAATGGTTCCGAGAAGGAGTGTGCAGGATCATAGGATGATACCTCTTCAGAGTTCAAGCAGGTCAACTCGGTTCAGTTCGAATAGCTTGTTGCTGGTCGTGAACTTGACTATAAAAAAGGGAGTTGGCCATCCCTGCACAAACTGGTCAGGAGCTGGCCGGAGCCATTCTCCTGATAAGGCCAAGGCAGGATGAAACCAGTCAGCATGTGTCCTCGAGAAGGCAAGTCTTAGTGGCTGACCAAGGTGCTTACGCGAGTTGAAGCAACGCCTTGGTGCCGCACGGGCAGTGCCACTGCGCCAAATCTCTAGGCCCGTGACATATGGTATCAAAGCAGGACTTAGGGTAAGCACAAAGGTGTGCCCCCTCGTCGATCCGGGGTCTAAGAATGAAGAAGGTGCACTGAAGTTTCGTCAATGGGGAATCAATGCAGTTGGAGGAGAGCCTCCATCTCCCCAAGAAGAAGCGTGTTTTGAAGTTGCGCAACGAAAGGCCTTGCGCACTAAAGTTCGTGCGAGCTCCTTAGGTGATGCAAACTGTGAAGAAGGGCAGGCATCAAGTCGACATGAGGCTCTTGCTTGCTCGGGATGTCGCGGAGGTGGCATGACGGAGAGTCACGTCCTAGAGGAGTGGACGTTCCCTTGGTCCGAGACCTATCATTGGGCAAGTGCAGTGTAAAGGGCTGCACAAGGAAGTGATGATGGGAAGGCGAGCATATCGCTTGGAGGCAGACTTTAGAAAGGAGTGGACGCAGTAGAGCAGCGCCGTGCTGCGACAAGGGCGTCGCAGGATTTAGGTGGGGGAGAGTGTCACGACGAATTTCTAAGACGCTTGAAGCACGGAAGACACACATATTGGTTAGCGAAGAACAGAGTTTGATTGGGAATGGTTCCAGGGAAGGGGCGTGTAGGACCACAAGATGGTACCTCTTCAAAGTTCAAGCAGGTCGACGCGGTTCAGTTCGAGGAGCTTGTCGCTAGTCGTAGACTTAACTATAAAGAAAGAAGTTGGCCATTCCTGCACAAACTAGTTAGAAGCTGGAGTCGTTCCCCTGATGAGGTTAAGGTAGGCTGAAACCAGTCAGCATGTATCTTCAGGAGGGCATGTCTTGATGGATGACCAGGGTGCTTGCACGAGTTGAAGCAACACCTTGGTGCCGCATGGGCCGTGCAGCTGCACCAAATCTCTAAGTTCGTGACAATAGTCTCCAAATTATAGGAAAACCAAAAAGTGATCAAGAATCCATTTTCCATTGATTGAGTGGTCATAGTGCAATGGTAAATTTCAATTTTATTTATTTATTTATTTTTGTTCTGTACTAAAATTAAATCAACATATGATGGGTATAAACATTGACCTTTCTCTCTCCTTTTGATCACTAATCGATATCAGTAAATCAACGTGTGTTGGGGGTATATCATATTCTCTTCCACTTAGTGGGCCTAAGTTTATTAAAATATATATATATATATATATTACAAGTGGGCTCGCTCGATAGGGTTGTATGGGCTGCATTAAAAAGAAGTCAAATTAGGCTATATTCTTTTCCACTCAGATTAGGTCTAAGTTTATAAAAATAAAATAAAAAAGAATTAAGTTACAAGGGGGTTGTATTAAAAAAATAAGCTTTATTTACATGGGCCCTTCACCAACTAAGCTGCAATCCATTTTACAAATAAAATATTTTTCACATTATATATACTATATAAATGGGCTCACAAAAAAATAATAATAATAATAATAAAATAAAATATAATTTGGAGGCCCTCCAAAATTGGGGCTCTGTGCAGTGACATCACCCAAGGGCTGGCCCTAGCTTTGGTAGTAGGCTTTTGTCTTAAGGGGAACTTGAACACCCACCTCTCACTCTACCATTAGGCTACAAGACCCTTGATTTATAATACACAACTTTTTATTATCTCATAATCTAATTATATTATGTTTAATGAACTTATATTCCTTATCATCATTTAGCTTAGATTAATCGTAAGCTCTTATGTTAGGTCTGCAATTTGGACGGGTTGGGGGTATAACTTGAGCCCAACCCGACATGAAATATTCGATCATTACCCAATTTTAACCCGAATTTCAACCTTAACTACTCAACCCGAGTCCAATCAATAACTTAGAAACTATTGATGCTTGTGTATCAATTGGCCAAGCTCGAACTAGCCATCTAAGGAGAATACCTTAAAAGGACTGATAAATTTGAGAATTGCAAGTAACTTTTCGGTTAAAGAATAATGATATTCAAGTTCATTAATTTATAATTTTTTGACATATTGCCTTACTGGACAAATTTTCTATGCAAACTGATGAATTTGGGCATGCTAGGTTCACGAGCACAATTTTTTATTTATTTAAAAAAAAAAAAAAAAAAACATGAGCACATTTCTAGTAGTTTCTTTTTTTTTAAAATCCCCTTCTACTTTCAACATATGGCAACAAATCCCTTGCAGAAAATAATTTGAAAAAAAACCCTCCTAACTATTCAATCGCAAAGTAATGTTATTATGATGAAAATACCCCTAAATATAAATTTAAGAAAAATAGGTTCTTTTAATATAAAATTAAAAGTAATACAAATAACTCGTCTGGCATGGTGGTGTTAAAAAGAATTTGAAACTCTTTTTAATGGTGCGTCAATAAGAAAATGAAAATACCTTGGAATAAATTTTAAATTTTTCTTAATTTTTAAAAAAAAAAATTGAAAACAAAAAGAAAATCTAAAATGAAAATCATTTTAAAACCACCTACATTTTCTTAAGTTTTTATTAAAGGGTATTTTAGTATTATAACTTCACTTTAATGGTATGCATTCTTTTGAAAAAAATTAAAGTTCTAATTTATTAGATACTTAGGGAGTTTTATGTAAAAAAAAAATTTTAGGGGGGTATCTGGCAAAAAATTAAAAGTAAAGGGGGGAGGTATAGAGAAAAGTGCAGAAAACCGCTAAAGTATACTCCGCGTAGCACTTTTACCCCCCCTATTTGAAAAAGTGTGCAAAAAACACCAGCCCCTAATCTTTTCACATTGTACAAAAATACATCTCAATTAGAAATCTGATATAAATTAGTATTGTAATATCCGTTTTGCCTTTTTTCTCTTCCGAAAATGTCCAAAATGATATATATGCTATTAATTTCATAGTATAGGGGTGTTATGTGCATATTACCTTATATTTAAAAATAAATAAATAAATAAATAAAATAATTCTCTATATATAACTCTAAACCTTTTTTTAAAAAAAAACTTTGAGAATTTGTATAATAAGGATTTGAATTTTTTGTGATTTCGGTTTACTGTTTTCTTTTTCTTTTTTTTCTTTATTTTATTTTTTTTCATTCCAGCACTTTTAAACACACACACACACACACAAAAAAAAAAAAAAAAAAAAAAAAAAAAAAAAAAAAAAAAAAAGAAAAAAAAAAAAAAAAAATCTATTGGTTGAGTTTGCCTACAACAACAGCTATAAGACGAGCATTGAGATGGCTCCATTTGAAGTGTTGTATGATAGACCTTACAGGTTACCGGTTTGTTGGACTGAGATAGGCGAGGCAGGCATTTTAGGACCGGACGTCATGCACGAGACTACGGAGAAAGTCAAGCTCATTAGACAGAGATTACTCACGGCCCAAAGCTAACAAAAGAGCTATGTGGATAAACGGAGACAACCGTTATCTTTTGAGGTGGGAGACCACGTTTTCCTTAAGGTCTTGCCACAGAAAGGATTGATGAAGTTCGAGAAGAATGGCAAGTTGTCATCACGATTCATTGGCCCATTTGAGATTTTAGAGTGCATCGGCCAGGAAGGTTGCATATCGGTTAGCATTACCATCACACATAGACTGAGTCCATAATATTTTCCACGTATCTATGCTTCGGAAGTATGAGCCAGATCCATCACACGTTTTGTGTTGGGTTGACGTCGAGGTTGACAAGGACGTAACCTATGAAGAGTGACCGGTCCAGATTCTTGACAGACAGGACAAAGTATTGAGGGA